ACAGTGAGACTCTGTCTCAAAAAAAAAAAAAACAAACCAACAACGACAAAAAATAAAGGCCTTATCTCCAAATACAGTCGCATTCTAAGGTCCTAGGCGTTAGGACTTCAACATATGAATCGTGGGGGTACACAATTCAGTCTATAACAGGAGAATGTGGCCAAAGGCCTTCAGGAACACAGGCAAAGCAACTTCAGTGGTCAGTTTCCCACACACGCTGCGGCCCCCTGCTTGGGCAGCCAGTTGCTGCCTGTCTAGGCTGGGAGGGCAGAGACGGAAGGAGATCCTGCCCTCTGGACACACACTTTTCACCAAAACATCCCTTCCTCCCTCCTTCCTCAGGGAGCCTCACCTTCCCTGCTTGTCTATATCCCTGGTTTATCCAGCGGTGGAGCTGCAGCTGGTGTCTTCGAAAATGCAAGCAGACATCCCACGCACCCTGGACAGCACCCCCTGGGTTAGGACTTCCCCAAATGTACGTCCTCTGTCTGCCCTCACCAGAACATCAAGCCACTGTTGATTCTCTCCGCTGCTGTCTTTTGCGAGCTCCTGGGTTCCCACACGGGTGAGCTTCAGCCGTCGCAGGATCTCACATTCACAGGCACACAGGAGCATCCCATGAATGGGCCTCTTTTTGCTCCTGAATTCACTACTGTCTTGGCCACTATCTTTGGGTGTCTTTCTGACAGAGGCCTGATCCACTGTGGGCAGAGGCTCAAATATCAGGACTTCCAGCTCTGTGTTCTAGACTAGAGCTTGGTGGACTCAGACTCCAGGCCTCAAGCTCAGGGGCCAGAATTCTAGAACATTGAGGTATCCCCCTCTCCCCAGCAAATATAGCTTTATTGGTTTTCTGCCTTGATTTTATAGATAATACTTGCTTATTTGAATTTTTTGGAAAACATAAAAATAAAAATTCCTCCAGCCTGAGTTGGCCACTATTAAAATTTCTGTGACCATCCATTCACAAATCTTTTTCTTTTCCATTTGCATAAAAGTATTTCTATAAATCATTTAAAAATCACACTTTAAAAAGTCGTGGATACCTTTTGAAAATGTGGAAGTTGCATAACTCCCCTTCCGTCTCCTAACTTCTTACCCGCACTGACTCTCCCCTAGCCCCGAATGACCAACATGAACAACCTGGAGTGTAGCTTCATCACTTTTTCCAGAACATGAGATTTTTGTGTGTTACCATTGTAGGATGAGCACTGTCCACAGTTGCAGGAAGGTGGAGACCTTGGCTCAGTATTTTTTATGTTCTGCACTTCTTAGAAAACTCTCCCAAGGATATCTGTGAAACTAATTCAAGATAAGGAGAAAACTACCATCAAACAGGTCTAAATTAACCTAGTGAAGTCTTGGTGGAATCCTCCCGCCTGCTCCTGTGACTCCTAACCAGCCCAGTCCTTGTTGTACTCGGGCCTTGGGGCCCTTGTTGACCTGGTTATAAATGGCCCCCCTCATGTGTAGTCCCATCAGCAGCACCATCCCAAGGCCCAAGGCCACTTTCCTGATACGGCACTACAGCTATAGGCTGTATCACCGCAGGGGGATGCTGGGGGGATGGTTCAAAGGACCCCTCTGCTCGATTTTTGCAACTTCCAGTGAATCTATGGTTATTTGAAAACAACAAGTTAAGGCCGGGCGCGGTGGCTCACGCCTGTAATCCTAGCACTCTGGGAGGACTAGGCGGGAGGATCGCTTGAGCTCAGGAGTTCAAGGCCAGCCTGAGCAAGAGTGAGACCCCCGTCTCTACAAAAAATAGAAAAATTAGCTGGGTGTGGCAGAGGATCGCTTGATCCCAGGAGTTTGAGGTTGCAGTGAGCTATGATGATGCCACTACACTCTAGCCGGCGTGACAGAGCGAGACTCTGTCTTAAAAAGAAAAAAAAAAGGAAAGAAAAAGAAGAGAACAAGTTAGAAAATGTATGTGAGAAAAAAGCCTTTTTAAACAAAAATGCAATTTAAAAGAAAGCAGCCCCCACCTGACCCCAGAGGCTCGGGGAGGAGCGGGACTGTCTGAGCTAATGGGCCACGCGTGTTCCTTCCCGCTGCTCACAGCGCTGCTCTACCCAGGAGACAAGATCGTTTTCCAGGAGGACCAGGTGCGCCCGATCCGGCAGCCCGGAGGCTACTACTCTGACTGGAAGGTCTTCCCTCCAAACCTGGCTCTTCTCAGGTCCCAGGGCCTCAGACAGTCTGCGGCCAAGAAGACTGACAAGCTGAGTTTCAGACCCCCTTCTCTCTGCCCTTTGTCGCGTCCCATTGCTGTCCCTTGAGTGCGGGGGCTGGGATGCTGAAATACTTGGCGTGTCATGTTGTACCAGCGTCTGTGTCCCGACTGGTCACCATGTATTGGCCAAGTCCCAAGTGTCACGCCACCACGTGCCTTAGGATCCTGGCCCCCTCGCCTCAGCTCCCACACAGCTGCCCTCCCGACCACAGCCCTACACAGTCGCAAGGTCTCTGGGAATATTATGAGGAGGGCCTTGTTAGAGATTTGGGGGGGGGGTCACAAGTCACCACCCAGGTGTCAGGGGCCCTACAGAGGACAGAGGGGCAGCCCCTTTACTGCCCTACTGCCCTGCAGCCAACACACCCCTTCTCTGGCAAGAGGCAGGTTTGCAGCTCCTAGGAGGAGAAAGGAACACTGCCCTGGGGCCTATCCCTGACCCTCAGACCAGCCTGAATCCCCTCTGAGCAAATGACCTCCTTCGGTGATCCAAAGCCTAGGACCACCAGATTTGGGTCAAGCAGCAGGTGGCAAGCCCTGGGCAGCACCAGCGGGTGACTGCAGAGGGAGGGGCCCAGCACGGGAGGAGGATGGGCCAGCAGGCTGGAAACCAGGAGGTGGGAGGGACCCGGGACCTGCCCCAGCACCCTAGACCTCTGCCAGCTGCTCTCGGGGGTGTGTGGCCAGAACGCCTGGGTGGGGCGCAGCAGAGCCGAGTAGAGATCACACAGGCCTCGGGTTAAATGGACAAGGCACTCCTCTCTCTGAGCCTCAGCATCTTCCTGTGTAAAAGGGGCCTAGCACAGTGAGGGTCAGGTGAGAAGTGCACGTAAACTTCTCAGCACAGACGGCGCTCACTCGCTGATTGCTGGTGTTTCACCTGCTCTGGTCAGGGCATTCTCACGTGCAGCAGCAGCCCCAGGCCTGCAGGTGCGTCCTCAGTGGGAGCCAGGCTGGTGGAGCCCTGAGGGCCCTTCTGTTCCCTCTGTGACTGCCTCCCAGCCCCTAGGCCGCTGGCACCAATTCCTGAGCCACGAACCCGGGAAGTGGGTGGGAACCTGGGAAAGGGATTTTTGTCCATGTTTAGGTAGGCCACAGCTATAAAGGAGAAAGAGAGGCCCCCTAGGTCAAGGAGAGACATTGGCTCTATCTGCTACTCAGACAGGATTGGGAAGAAATGCTGTGATTGATTAGTGATGCCTGGTAGGCTCAAGGTTTGGGGGGTTAGTTCTCACCGCCCTTGTCCTCAAGGCTGGGTTAGGCTCTGGCAGGGGAAGTGGGAGTCAGGGGCCCCAAAAGGATTCAGATTCAGCAGCTACTACTTATTGAACATCTTTCATAACTACCCTGGGAGGTCTCTGTTCTGGGCAATGAGAAAACCAAGGCCCAGAAAGGAGAACCCAGCCAGCTAGGTGATGAGGCCAGGTCTGGCTGACCCAAGCCCACTGTGTGTTCCCCTGGAGCATGGAGACGCAGAGTCAGGACCCCACCCCAGGTAGAAGAAATTCTCTCTTCAGACCTCTGGTTTGAGACTCAGAAATGGGTCCACTCCTATGGCCCCCTGACCCACTCCCCAAGGCCCCATTAGCCTGGATTCCCCTCTCCTAACAAAATGGCTTTCTTTTCTCCACTAGGAAAATGCCGAAGAAAATCAAGAAAATGCACTTTAAGGAGTTTGAGGAATTCACCAGGTCTGTGGCAATCATCTAACTCCAGAAGGAAGGAAGGAAGGAACGTGGGAGGGGGGCTAGCCTCACCTTGGAGGGGTCCCTGGGATTCTGCATGTCGCATCATGTGCCTAGCACAGCAGCTGGGCTCGGTGCCCTGACCTGAGGGCCAGTGAAATGACAGAGTGCCAGGAAGCATTGCTCTGAGGCCTTCCATGTGTTAACTCACTTAAATCCTCTCAACAACCCTATGATGTTAGTCTTAGCATACCCATATTACAGAAGAGGAAACTGAGGCCCAGACAGGTCAAAGTCACACATGTATTAAGTGGTAGAGTGGGGATTTGAACCCAGCTAGGCCAGCTCCAGGGGCTGCACTCCAGACACCACATTAAAATGCCTCCAGCTAACAGATGGTGCACGGTTAAGACTTTGGGTTTTAGAGGCAGCAGACTGGGAGTCAAACCTGCACCCAGCCACTTGCTCACTGTGTTACAGCCTCTCTGGGCCTCTGGGTCCTCATTGGTGAGGTCGACAGGATAACAGAATCTACCACATGGAACTGCAGGGAGGACTGAGGTACTGAGGTGCTGAATACAGTGGTAAATCTCCACTTTGGTCACAGTTGGTGTGCTCTAGGGAGAAGGAGCCTGAGCCCTGGCCTGTCAGCTGACAATTTTCCTTCTGTCTTCTGATTTTCTAGGAAGCTGAAGGTGAAGAGGCCCAGTGGTTTGCAGCGAACCCACCCCAATTCCTTCTGGCCGGGGCACCTTCTGGATAAGCTGTATCTCTACCTGCCCACCGTGGCCACTGACCGGAGCCTGGCACTCTTCAGTTGTATCCACCCCCAGCCCCGTGTCTACCCAGCCACCTACCACCCTGACCACTGGTGGCCCTTTAGGGAGACAAGCTACATGACCTGTGCCCACTATGATGCTGCCAAGGTCTACTACGTCAACTAGAGTGGCCCAGGTGTTACTGGACCCAGCCATCCTGGGCCAGGGACCAGTGTGGCAAGCAGCCCAAGCCATAGACACAGGAGTGTCAAAGAACTAGACAAAAATCCTTTCAATGGAATGGCCTAGGGCCAGCTCCTTCTGCACCCAAAGTGTCCAGTTTCTCAGAGGATAGATGTGTCTAGGGAAAAATGTGCCGTTTTTGGATGGTTTTCTTTCCCTGAAGTTTGCCCTTTTGAAATAAAGCATGTTGGAGTTTTTCTCATATCAGCTGTGACTCGGTTGATATGATTTCTTTCTCAGGAACTTTGGCCAGAAGGGAGTTTGGAAAGCTTGAGCCTGGAGGGTGGGGGGGCAGCTATACAGCAGGCACATTCCCTGAGATATTGACAGGGATGCCTCCATGGCACCTCCAGCCTCTTGTCCTGGGACCTTAGTGCCCACGGGGAGGCAGCAGGCATTGTGGGTACCCCTGTGCCCTCCTCTGTGAAATGAGGTGGCAGCATGTCTTTCACCCCCCAAAGACTGAGCCATTGGGTACTGCTTCCAAATCTCTTAGGTCTTTGGAAACTGAAGGCATGCTCTCTGGTTCATGAGTTCTTCTTATTAATCCACTGAGCCTGTCAAGACCTTTTCCTTCATGGGTTGCATCATGCAAGCTGCCATTAGCTACATGCTTCCACGCTCTGCATCCCATCTGACTACACACAGCGTGTAGGACCAGCATGAGTCATGAGGTGTGGTATAGCCACAGACACAGCAGGGTTCTAGTCCCAATCCTTCCACTTTCCAGCTGTGTGATCTCAGACAAGACATTTCGCTTCTCTGGGTCTCCTCCAACACCCCTTCACAGCCCAAATCTCACTATGGAGTTGTCAACACACCCTTCTCACCTTTCATTAAGTCATCAACACAATCCAGTTTACCTTCTGTCCCCATCTCACCCCCGGAACTACTGTCGAGATCACCAGTGACATCTGTATTGTGTTCGAGTCGTGGGATCAGGGTTTTTTTATTTATCCTGAAATTTGATTTTCACAATAATTTTAAAAACAAAAGCTAAGCAAAACAAATCAAGATCAACAATTTTAAGAACTAGTCTGTTTAGCTTCACCGTTAGAAGTGTGGAGTGTGAGGCTGGTGGGGTGGCTCATATTTGTAATCCTGGCACTCTGGGAGGGCAAGGCGGGAGGATGGCTTAAGGTCAGGAGTTTGAGACCAGCCTGAGCAAGAGCGAGACCCCCGTCTCTACAAAAAATAGAAAAAATTAACTGGGCATGGTGGGACGTGCCTGTACTCCCAACCACCTGGGAGGCTGAGGCAGGAGGATGGCTTGAGCCCAGGAGTTTGAGGTTGCTGTGAGCTAGGCTGACGCCACTGCGCTCTAGCCCAGGCAACAGAGGGAGACTCTGTCTCAAAAAAAAAAAAGAGGTGTGGAGTCAAATCTCCACAATTCACTTTCCATGTATGTACAATAGAGAGAATAATAGAACTTCCTTATAGAATTGTGGTAAGCATAGTAACTCCTATTGAATGTTAGCTGTTATAGTCTCGTTAGTATTTACTATATAAATTCACGCGAGGGAATTATTAGGAAGTCTATGTTTTGTTTTCTCCCGGCCACTAAGAGGCGCACTTGCGGGTAGAAGAAAGACGGGCGGAAATAGTCCAAAAGCTGGATTTGGCTTCAACTTCTGGCGGAAGTACTCCTCCTCCCCAGGTCTTAACTTAGAAAGAATTCCAAATTTCTACGTAGTCCCAAAGGCAGGTAAGATAAATTTTCAGATTTATTCCTATATATTAATTTCTAATAAAACACAGGTATACTCAGCATTTTTTGCAGCATTATTTCTTTTGATTGTCTATTTTCTTTGAAGGACCTGGAACCGGAAGTCCTCGTCTTTTCCCTGCCAGGATCCTAGAGGTTAATTCCCATCAGCCCTTGCGCACCACGTTCCGCTCTCTCTTCTTGGCGCTGCCGGCGGAGGTGGCAGCCATCTCCTATTCGGTGAGTCTTAATCGTGGGCCATCCACAATTCTGCGGTCTTCATCGAGTCCCTTTACACCCTTCGTGAGGGGGCCTCTCCTTCCGCGAGGTCGCCTCTGTGGGCACTGTCGTTGCCGGCTTGCCGGAACATGTACAGGAACGCCGAAGCGGCCCGGGCGGTGATGGGGCTTTGCCTCCCAGGGCCGCTTGCCCTCCTACAGAGGCTGCCTGGGGTCAGGTCAGTCAGAGCTGCACAAGGCTCGTTTGATTCCTGGCGGCGCGGGGTGCTAACTGGGGCCAGACTACGGGGCTCCCCGGGGCTGTGGAACGTCCAGAGCTGTCTCGGCTTGACAGCCCGTGAGCTCGGATCGTGGGTCGCCCTGTCACGATTGTCTGCCCACGTGTATTTCACTGCTGCATCCGACGCTCCTTCTCCTCCAGTCTCTGGCCCTCGGACTCCGCTGCGGAACCGCAAAAAAAAAAAAAAAAATGTGTAGTCTGCTCCTTCAATTGTTAACAGAAATTCTGGTAGTGAGTTAGGATCTCTGGGAATATGAAGATGAAAATGACCCCTTGCCTTCGAGGACGTCATGGTTCCAGTGGGTACAGTCGTTATTGAATATGTGGTCCGTTGAGTACCTACTGTGTGCCAAACCAAAAAAGCAGATTGATGGCTGTGAAGAGAACAAAGAGGGTGCTGCAGTAGGAAAAAAAATAAGTGGCTGGGAGAACTACACTGAGGCAGGTGTATGTTGATTCTCGAACATCTCCAGGTAGAGCAGTAAGTTTAAAGGTTTGCGGCATTTTAGAATCACATCATGGTTTTGTGTATATTTTGAGGGTACTGCAGAGCCACAGCAACCTAGGGGAATTATAAGTTATCTTTATTGAACGTTTACTTTGTGACAGGCACTGTGCAAGCATTCAGCATGCAGTGTCATGCTCCATTTTACAGGTGTGAAAACTGTGACGCAGGTTCAAGTAGATTGGCCAAGGCCTGTACAGCTAAATGCACTGTGTAGGTGTTGGGGCACTTCGTGGGGTGGGATTTGCTGCCCCTTGGCAAACTGAGAAGGTCTTGGGGTCAGTTTTGTTTTAGGTCAGCTGTTGGATTCTTTCTTGGGCTCTCAGTGGGTGAGGTGACCCCTGACCTCCTGGGATCGCGTCTGGAGAGTGGCTAGTATTCTGCCAGCTTCGGAAACAGGAGGGAAAGCAAGCCTAGCAGAGGTACCCATTCCATTCCCAGCTTGCTCGGTAGCTGGTGATTGGAAGACACTCTGCAACAAGTGTGCAAGCCCTGGGCAGGAAAGCCTCCTTCCAGGATTCTTCTTTAACTGGGTCTGGTTCTTTCTTAAAGGCATCATGGCCGCCCTCAGACCCCTTGTGAAGCCCAAAATCGTCAAAAAGAGGACCAAGAAGTTTATCCGGCACCAGTCAGACCGCTATGTCAAAATCAAG